AAAACCACATTTCCAAAGCCTAACACAAATGTGCAGCGCCTTCACTTTTTCAGCAGAACAATATATTTATGTAACAATGACTTTTTTTGTCAACCTAAAGGTGTGCTCAGGTGAGCTTACCCTCCACTACATCTCCAAACCTGGATAAAGCTTTATAAGGTGATCATACCTGCCTTACAGCTTCCCACTAGCCTCCTCTTGTTACATGAGGGTGGGGTGGGGGGTGGGGGTGGGGGTTTCTTCTCTCCTCCAGTCTGACAAGACGGCGGGATGCTAAAAATAACCCAGGGTGTTACTGGATGTAACAGCGGTGGAAACCTCTGGCTGCAGGCACTAATTCATTTTTCATACTCACAGGGGATGCACTCAGGAAATGCCTTGTGCCCTTTCTTTTACCTTCTTCAAGAGAGGAGGCTGTTAAATCTGCAATGAGTTCCGTAAGAAAAACAAGCTCAGCAGCAGCAGCAGCAGCAGATGAGGATATTTGGTTGAATTTCTCCAAACCATAAAACCTCCTCGGCTGCAGCTCGATGCTATAATGAGCCATGTTTTATTCCAGCAATAGTGACATGCACTGAAAGAGTCAAGTGTTAAAGCTCCATAGGATCCCGACTAACATCTCCTCAATGAATATTTAATCCAGATCACTAGTTGTGTTTGTACTGCCTTCAATGAATCTTTCATTGATACACGCTAGTTGCTCACAGGCTGGCACGGATTGCAAATGAGCAAAAACCTTCAGTGATTATACTGTAATAGGCTATCAGCTACCTGGTGTTATCCCACACTAAATCCTCTCAGAGCAGCTTCACAGCAAAGCTCAGACTCCCACTAAAGCAATCTGAAGTCAAACCTGTCTGACACACCAACTCTAGTTTATTAGTGAAACCAGACTTTTTGTTTGGAGATTTCTTGTCCCCAAAGGATCTGAGTTACAGACATTTTTATTAAACCAGTTCAGCTGAAGCCTTCTCCATAACCCACTGCAGGCGATGTATAGGTATTTGTATTGTGTGAAATCCCTGAAAAGCTGTCTGTAAAGAACAGTAAAGAAACAGGAGAGTACAATCTATACCATAATTTACAGTTAAGTGTTTTACCAATCAGAATATTTACATTTTAGTGCTTTTCTTGGTTCTTGGAACATTAAAATCTTCTAAATATCTCCTCATACTCTTAAAGTAGACATGAAACACTACATGTATAAAGGCTAATTTACACGCCATTTGTTAACTACACCCTAACTGACGATTAAAAATCAGAGTGTCAGACTTCAGCTTGTCTGTCTGGTGAACTATCAGTGCACCAGACTCAAACAGGCTCTCCCCCACACAGTCCTCATTTAGAAAATGCTCTAAAAACCCTAAAATTATGGCCAGTAGCTGGATTTTCCCATTTCAGTGCAGCTAGCAAAACAGCGAAGAACCACTTAATGCTAAAGAGACTGAAAGTGAACAGTATATCGTATTTGTTTTTATTATTTTAATTATTATTGTTATTTATTTATTTTTTACAAAACCCCATTGCTACAGTCAGTTGCAGTCCAAAAGTGGCCTCCTTAGGCTGCTTTTTAGTTTTTGTGTCCTTATTTTCCACTGAGGTATCATACTTGTTTCAGACATTAATATAAGTTAAATATAAATATTCAAATAAAAAGTAATGTCTCCCTAAAAAAAAAGAGTAAAAATAAGAAAAACTAAGGAGCTTTAAATATTCCAAAGTTAAAGCACATAGGTTTGTGCTATTAAAGAATGGATTTAGTCTATTGGTTAATTCCACAGTTTTCAACTGCAGCGCTGTTTGTTGGTCTTAAACCAATGATGGACTTCATGCCACTCCAGACTGCCCTCATGTTGGTCTGCTGGATTTTCCACTCCAGTTTTCTCCTGTAGTTGTCCATATCCTTCTTGATGGATTTCTTTAGGATACTTTAAGCTTCTCTCTCCTCCATACTGCCAGCTCTGAAGGTCCTCGTTTTCTTTTTAAGGAGTGCTTTGATGTCCTTTGTTACACATGACTTGTTGTTGTTCCTTTGGAATTATGGAGTCGGTGCAGAAATTTATGTAGACTGATCAATTTTACGCTCCCATCAATGTCCTCTCACTACGACTCACAGAGGACTGGCCAACCATTCCCCTCAGAGCGGCCTGGCAGGGCCACAAAAGCATCCTATGACCATATACTCACCATCCGTGGGGTCAGAGGCTGCTTCTTGACTAGAGGGACACAGTAGAGGGTTAGGTAAATCAGGTTGCGATCTGAGCTACTAAGCAGGATGAAGTGGGAGGAATAGTATTAGTCCTTAACATTTGCATAAGATCTGTTGTTCTTTCATCTCTCCTCTCCTGCTCTGAACATAAATATGTGAGAATATTCACCTCTCATCCGAGAAGCTTCTCGGATGAGAGGTGAAACGTCTTCAAGTAACTTAAAGAAGTCCAGACGCTTTTCTTTGCAAGCTCCTTTGACTACGATGACCTGGATGACTGGGAACCTTCACAGACGTGAGAATAGTCTTCTCTCAAAAATGCATGTTGCTTTTCTGATTGATACCAAGCCATATTAAATCAAGCCACATAAGCAGTTTTAATCAATTGTGTACTTTCAGCTGCATTCAGTGAGGTTCAGATGAATTTTGCAGACCCAGGCTAGTGGTTTCAGCCTTTATGATTAGTCCGGTTCATTGGCTTCTTGCAGTGGCTTTGTATACACTGTGTAAAAGTGTTGAACTACCCCATTACTAATGAAGTCAATACTCACCAAATCTCATCTTTTTGCCATGAGAGGATCTCAAAGATTGCATCAAATGTGTGCTGATTCAACCTGAAATATAACAGGACACATGGAGATGAGATGAATAGTCCTAGGAGAAATATTGCAGTAGAACTTTTGAACCTCTCACTACCCTTTCTGTCTGGTTTCCTTCTCTCTCTCCTGTTGACCCAAATGTTAGAAAGAAATTTAAATTGTTAAGAAAGGACATGCTGTTCTCATTAATCACTGGCGTGGTCTTGAAAAACTTGACAGTCAGCTTGGTTCATGTGTACCACTTGGCTTTGAAATACATATTTTGCACAGTCAAGCTCAGTGTTGGTCAAGTTACTTGAAAAAAGTAATCAGCAACTAATTACTGATTATTTCCCCCCAAAAATAATCACGTTACTTTACTGATTACTTATTTTCAAAAGTAATTAATTACTTAGTTACTTAGTTACTTTTTAAAAACACGATTTACAACATGAATAGGTGATAAATAGATCTTTCAGGCCAATTCTACTTTTTCTGCATAATCCATCATACAAAATGTAATCAAATGGAAAAGTCTTTTTTTAAAAACTTGTTTTATTAGTTTCAATCTTTTAACTTTATGCATCAAGCAAAAATTTAATTATATGCAACATTCACTGACTGGAAGAAATTAGTTTAACATTTAAACCTATTTTCTGCACATTCCAGCACAAAAAATAAAATATTTTTTGTGTTTACACTAACTCTTTCAAATAAATGCAAGTGAAACACAGAAGAAAATAAATAAAATCAAAGACTAGCGGTCCTTTTGCTCTATTTTCACCTGTACAGCAGGAGTGGGGTAGGCGGAGGTTTACCCTGGTGCAGGTGTGCCGCAGCGGTCAGTGGAAGAATTTGCGAGTTTCTCTGTGAATTTCACATTACTCGGTGCTTGCTCGGAAGTTTAGGGGTTTTCTTCCCACGCAGTGAACAACGGACGCTAATGTTTTTGTCACTTTTTACGGAATCAAACTCAAAGTAAGGTCAGTACTTCCACGCTTTAAACCTGCATGCTCATACTCTCTCCCGCACTCCATTGTTGATCTGCACACAGCTGTTGTCACACTGGCTTATGTCATTATCATGAGACACTCTCGCAAGAAAATCACGGTTGTAGTAACGCAGTAACGCAGCGTGCTTACGGGAAAGTAACAGTAATCTAATTACCCTCTTTGCAATAGTAATCCCTTACTTTACTCGTTACTCAAAAAAGTAATCGGATTACAGTAACGCGTTACAAGTAACGCGAGATGAACACGTTACTGCCCATCTCTGGTCAAGCTCTTCTTTTTTTCCACATTGTCGTGCCCTTTTTCCAGGTTTGTATCTTTCCGCTGACGCTTGTATCAGAGTAGCAGGCGGCTCACCCTGCATCCTCCCAGCGCCTCAGCAGCCTGCCAGATAAGAAACAGGAGAGGAAGGGAAGTGCTGGCTAATATAGCTGCCTCAGACATCAGTTCTCCTCCGCTTCCCCTCCAGATGAATACACAATCAATACAACAATGAATTAATAATGAAAGATGTAGAACAACAACCCTGCACGGGCTGTCTTTATTTCCAGCCTCAGTCACTTCCTCTTTAGGGTGATGATGTTGCAAGCAGCAAGGTGACTCGTTTGGACTTTTTCGTGCCTCTGGCATATGGAAATTAACACAAACCGAGACTACCCCCCCCCCCGTCGCCCCTTTTGCTTGTTGAACGTGCAGGTGCTAAACAACTTATGTGACTTGTCGAAGCAGAAGTGTGCGGACGTTCGTTTGCGATAGATCGACCTGTTGTTTCTGCGAAGGTGCAAGAAATCGCACCTCTCGCACTTCGTCTCTTTCCTTTCCAGTCTGTCTCTTCAGCTGCGCTCAAGGCACAGGGGAGACAGCTTAGCCCGCACAGAGAGGATTGGCTGTTTCCAAGTGTGCAGTGTGTATCTGTGTGTGTGAGCGTGTGAATGCCATTGGTAGAGG